TTTGTGTGTGTTTTTAATGTTTATTCAAAATTATGTAGTATCTTTAAAAATTAAATTAGCCCATAATGAGAATACATAGTTGTTATTATGGAAAATATTTTCTTCCCTAAAATTGTAACTATAAAAACAATAACCAATTTTGAGCCTTTCAGTGTATTGGATGATTAACTTTGGCAAATATAATCTTAAGATCTGTACGGGAAATACTAAAAGAGTATTGCTAATTGTGATCCAGATGTTACCTGGGTATCTCTCTGGTCCACGGCCACCCTAGCATAGATTTATCATCTCTTGATTTTTTCCCAGGAAATGTACATTGATAAAACAACTTCTTCTTTTTTGTATTAGGGATTGAACCTGGGGGCACTTAACCAGCCCTTTAAAAAAATATTTTATTAGAGACAGACTCTTGATGAGTTGGTTAGAGCCTCAGTAAGTTGCTGAGGCTGGGTTTGAAGTCGCAATCCTCCTGCATCAACTTCCCAGGTTGCTGGGATTATAGGCATGAGCCTCTGCATCTGGTGATAAAACATTTTGTAAAGTAATGATGGGTTTAGCACTGTGAAGGATCATTTATCTGTGACCAAGAAAGTCATCCCATCTGCCTTTTTATTTATTAACGTTGTGCCAACACACACCCTGTTTTATCTTTCTGTTCAGTAGTCAGATTCCATGCAGTTTGCAAGCCCAGGACCAAGATGCTAGGCCACTTCTACTGAAGGGTGGTGGTGGCTTATTAACCTATTTTCCAAATGAGTAATTTTCATGCAGGCTAAGTGAGAAAAAGCATTTAAAAAATTGTGTAGGTAGTAGATTACTTAACATGTTTTTCACATTGAATAATCAAATCATTTATAAATTCTCTGACACTAAAATGATTTAAAGCTCTACAAAACTCAGTGCTTACCTTTACTTTTATGCACATGCAGGAACAAATGGTAAATGTTAAAAATGAAATTGCCTTGAATTTTCTACTTGACATCCTGTAAATTACTGAACTCTGATTTCGCATATGGTTCCTTCCTCTACCTCCTTGCATATTTACCAGCCTCACTATTATCTCACTCTAAAGCTGTAAGAATTTTAGATTATATTTGATCTGTTGCTGGTTTTTAGATTTATGCATGATGATAAATTGAGGAAAATAAAACTTTTTTTAGTTGTATGTTGTGCCACATTGACCTTTATCTTGTGCCATTATATTAAAAAATAGTATGGGGAAGATCAAAAGTTTTGGGAAACTGACAAGCTTGGGAGTGTAGAAGTGGGGAAATACAATATAGAAAATGGATATTCACATTTTTAGTTTCTGCTTTGAGATATGATGTGCTTAGTGTATGTATTATTTAGGTTAGAGGTAAGGTAAACTAAGATTTGGGAGTTCATTCTGTTTAAACTTAAGAGTTGATGAAAAATTTCTTATATTGGTGAAAATGCAGATTGATCTTTGGAATTACCTGACTGTGGAAGAACACTACCTGTCACAACCAGTTTCTAATTCCTTTTTCTTACAGGTCTTATTTATATGAGCATTGATACACTTGTTAAGTATTAGGAACATTTGAAAGTCTTATTTAAATACACAGATGCTATATTGACAGTTGCTATATTTCTTGAAGACTGGGTATGCTGGATACAACTGTGAACCCAATGGGCTAGTCTTTTGCCCTAATTTGTGTTCTAGACCTAGAAGAGCAAATAAAGTGGAAATGTCTTATCTAGTATAATCTTACCAGTATTATCTCAAGCATTGAACATACTTTTGGGTATATGAATCTACTTTTGTATCTTCAGTTTTACATAATACAAATACGAATATAAGTATTTCTGAAGAGAGTTCATCTGAATTGGATGTGGAAAGGCATAGTATAAAGACTAGAATGTAAAACAGAGATCTCTAACTCATATACTTGCCTGTTAAAATGATAATATTTGATGCTTGATGGAATAGGCTATTAAGCTAATTTCACCTTTTACTTTTTATATCTCCTTTTAATGTGGTGTCCAGGAGAATTAAAACTGCATGTCTTCAGTTATTTTTCTTCAGTACAGTGTTGGTCTAGAGGAGTAACTTTGTCAAAGTCTTATTGCTTCCTTTCATGATTGTAATACCAGAATCCCATTGTACAGTCATTATATAATTCATTTATTATTATTACCTTTAAAAATGAATAATGTTGGGTTGTACATTTACCACTTAGTGTTATTGCAAGGTCAGTTTCCTATAGTATAATTAAATGATGTTTTCCCTACTGTAGGAAAGGAATTTGAGCTCCCAGGTTTTAGGAAGTCAGTTGTATATGTTAATGTTTTCACTTTTTTGTTTTTGGTGGTGGGGGTCAAACCCAGGGCCTCCAGCATATCGGGCATGTGCCCTACCATGGAGTATACCTCTGGCTCCCTTTTCACTTTTATTCTTTTCTTTTGTGTTTATTATCTACTTGATAATATCCATAAAATATTCTAGCAAATTTAATACCTGAAAACTTGTGACAGTCAAGATTTCTCTAATACTCGTGTGAGGTTATCCGTTCATTTAGAATATTAGACCTAAAAGAGTGGTAACCTTACCTACCATATAGTGATTTATTCTCATTTAGTAGCAAGTCATTATTAAATGTTTGCTTGGTGGATGAGTAACACCAGTTGTATGACAGGCATGGTGTTTATTAATAATGTAAAAATGCACAGAATAAGGCCCCCTGCTCTCTTGGAATTTGAAGTTTAATGGACATAAGTAGACTTGTAAGTAAACAGTATATTAATAAAATGCATAGAAAATGCTCTGAAAACTAAGATGCACATATTCATTTATTTGGGGGAGACTGCACCAGGATGATAACCTTTTAGCAGCTCTTAAAGGTGAGTAAATACTTGCCAATTGTAGCTTTTTGGACGGGTAGTGGTCAAAAGAGCTAATGGCAGTTAACAGAGACCCTGAACAGGTAATGAGAAGATGTCTTAGGAAGTGAGGCTGGAGTGGTAGAGAACAGACAAGAAGTGAAGTTTAGGGACCAAGGATGTAGTTCAAAGGTAGAAATGTGTTCTTTGTATGCATAAGACTATACGTTTAATTGCCAGGGTGTGTGCACACAGACATACATGCACGTGGAAAGTTGGAATAAGATTGTTATTGATCCAAGTTTAGGTTTTTATCTTTCAGATGACTGGGAGTCAGTGTAGATATTTTAAGTTTTAGAGTGACTGGATCAATAATAATGATGTAGAAAGCAGATGGACTGCATTGATCACTTACCTATCTCCTAACATTTCTATGATATTCGAAAGGATATTTAGAGGCAATGAGGACTGTGCATATTCCAGATATGTATAATTAAGAGAGGGCGAATTTAACTGGGACTAATTATTGGGATGAAGGAGGCAAGTGTTCTAGTAGTTTCTAGTTTGAAAGATGAGAGGTTATTAACAACAGCAAAGGTAAGTGTTTTCAGGATTGGTAGTAAAGGGATATAGCCCTTAAGTAAAAATGAAGGTGTAATCTATGGATTAATGTTTTGGGTTTGAGTGCTTCTAGGTGGTTGAAATTATAAACACTAGAAAACCTCTGCCTGGTAAATAAATAGTATTCTCGTGGCACCATCTATCACTGAAGGTGATGACTACAATTCTTCTTAGCCATTCTGTTTTGTTTGTTTTTTTATTTGCTCTTGCAATTTACTGTCACAAAATATCTAATGCATCCTTTTAAAACAACAACCACATCCTGGTCCTATCACTGAATTATGTCTCCAACCCTTTTTGATTTTATTTTGAGACAATATTTCACTAATTGGCCCAGGCTGGTCTTAAACTTGTGATCCTCCTGCCTCAGACTTCTAAGTCGCTAGGAATTATAGGCATGCACCATCTTGCCCATTATTCCTTTGCTTTTTCAAATGTAGTAGCTTTCTATCTGAATTAAAACCAAATTGTATTGTAGGGCTTTATTTAATCCCCCCCTCCCCCAAGTCTACCTTTTTAACACTATCTACATTCCCTGACCCTTGCTCACAAAATCTAAGGTGATTCCTCCCTCTTCCAGATAACTTTTTAATGTATTTTAAAAATATATTTTTAGTTGTAGGTGAACACAATACCTTTATTTAATTTATTTATATGTGATGCTGAGGATACAACCCAGTGCCTCACATGTGCTAGGCAAGTGCTCTACCACTGATTCACAACCCCAGCCCTCTTTCAGTTATTTTCATAGGTCTCATCCAAACAGAATTTCATGTCACCTCTTTTCATTCATGTCACTTCATCAGCATATGATACTTATTTGTGCCTACATTTTGTTTGTCTTCATTAGTATTCATACACAATGCTTGTCATTAAGTAGATTGCCCTCTGTGTCCATGAGACCCATAGTTATGGGTTTAAGCAAACTCAAATTGAAATGTATATTGAACATGTATAAATATTTTGTTATTGTTCCCTACACAATACACTATAATAGCTGTTCATATAGTATTTACACTAATAGTAACTATAAGTAACTCAAGATGGAAGTATAGGAGGAATATGTGTAGGTTTTATGAAATTCTTTTTTAAAAAAATATTTATTTTTTTTAGGTGTAGATGGACACAACACAATACCTTTATTTTTATGTGGTGCTGAGGATCGAACCTGGGTCCCGTCCACGCTAGGCAAGCGCTCTACGGCTGGGCCACAATCCCAGCCCTGGTTTTATGAAATTCTATACTGTTTATTAAGGGACTTGACCATTCATCCATTTTGGTATCCGAGGGGTTTCCTAGAACCAGTCCCCTGAGAATTCCAAAGAATGGCTGTATTTCTTGCTTTTTTTTTTTAAACTGGCAATTGAGCCCAAGAGTACTTAGTCTCTGAGTCACACCTGTAGCCCTTTTAAAATATTTTCTTTGCTAAGTTGATGAGTCCGGCTTTAAACTTGTGATCCTCTTGCCTCAGCCTCCCAAGCCTCTTAAAGGCATGTGCCACCACAATGTTTTTTGTTTTTTTTTTTTCTCTTTTTTCTTCAAATATGGAAGGCTTCCTGAATTTGTGTCATTCTGGCACAGGGGCCATGCTAATCTTTTCTGTATTGTTTCAATATTATGTGTGCTGCTGAAGTGAGCATGAATGGCTGTGTTTCTTAAACTGATCTGAGGAAATTTTCAGGAGAAAAAAATGGAGTAATGACCTAGATTGAAAGAGTAGAGTTTTTTGATGTTGTTTTTTGTATTTGTTTTTTAGTTGTAGTTGGACACAATACCTTTATTTATTTATTTTTATGTGGTGCTGAGGATCGAACCCAGGGCCTCACATGTGCTAGGCGAGCGCTCGACTGGTCAGCCCCAGCCCCAGCCCCAGCCCTATGAGTAGAGTTAATATAACAGTTTGTGTGGATGAGAATCCCACATTTATTTATTCAACAAATATTAATGAGCCTTTTTGTCTCAGCCTATGTGTATAATAGTTAAGAAAATGGAATTGGGCCTCATCTTTAAGTTTGAAGTTTAGTGGGTGACAAATGGGAAGAAAGTCCATAAAGACAACTTCACTATTGCTTTGGAGGGTCAGAGCAAGAAGAGCCAGCCAAGAATGTGAGTAAACCAAGTTTTGAATAAAATTTGGCTAAAAAGAAGAGCCACCACCATGCTGTCTTAGCAAAAAAAGGAAAGAAAAATACAAAATTGGGGTGAAAGATGAGAATCAAGACATCTTGCTCAAAGGATGGAGATTGGGTGAGGTTGGCAATATGGCAGAAGACAAATTTTTAACATTTGAAATAAAATGTGAAACCAAAATCATAGCGTATGTTCTGTGTATTATCTCTACCAAATATGTGTGTGTTGGATCCACAAATACGAAGACCAAAGGACCTAGAAGTAAGTTTAAAAGACCAACATAAAGTCTCTCCAGGAAACTGGCCTTTTTTTCTAATTGATAATAAAATGAAAGCTACTGGTTTTATAAGTTTATATATTTTCCTTTCATATCTTCCCTTGATACTTATTGAAGAGAAGATTGAAACCAACTGAAGTGCAAAGGTTGGCTTCTTGAAGCAACTAGCCAGTAAATACTCAGAAAGGCTTTCTAGTAAATTGCAACTTGAAGTCATTGATGAGTTCATCTATATAAACTTCCTGTAGGCGAGGATTGTACAGACTTTTGTGTATAGTAGTGGTCTAATTATGTTAACTTTCTAGCAATTTGTAACTTTAACATGACAAAGTTGTTTAGATTTCTGGAAGAAATAATTCAGTAAAAGTCTTATATTCTGAAGGAGTACCTAATTGTCTTGGCAGGTTTGGATAAATTAGTTGGGTATTGTTACCAAGGCAGATTTAAAAACTATCTTACAAATATAAGGGGAGAGCACATAATTCATAGTTCTCAAAACATTTCTCTGAATTGGTCTTTTGTGTTAATAGTCCCTATTTAAGAGTAAATTATTCAGGTATTTTCAAGTGTTTGTAAAGATCACCAGGTTCCCTTCTGTTCCCCTCTGTTTTCGGTTGCTTACTTCCTTTATCACAGTCTTTGAGTTTATTACTAACCAGTTTGACGAACTTTGAGGATTTTAAAAATTACCTGTAGCATACACATTGCTTGCTTTTCTGGGTTGCTTTTGTAATTATGATTTTAAATATTTCCAGAAGAAACATCAAATTAACATTTTTCATAATTGTATAGTAGACATTCTTGCATTTTGGTTTTTATCTTCATTTGCTAAATAAACCAAGTATATTCGTTTTAGTATCCTTATAATTTTTTAAAAAAATATTTATTTTTTTTAGAAGTAGTTGGACACAATACCTTTGTTTTATTTTTATGTGGTGCTACGGATCAAACCCAGGGCCTCGCACGTGCTAGACGATCACTGTATCACTGAGCCACAATCCCAGCCCCTTTGTAGATTTTTAAGAAGGGAATGACAGCAAGTCTGGAGACTTAATAAGTTTTACGGTTTTGCCATTTCTTCTCTTGATCTAAGAGATGATGAAAAGTTGGGAGATAAATTATATAATGCAACACTTGGAAAGGATTTGAAATTTTTTTCAAGATTACAGTGGCTCAGTGGTAGAGTGCTTGCCTAGCATGTGTGAGGCACTGGGTTCGACTCTTAGCACCAGATACAAACAAACAAATAAATAAATAAATATTAATAACTAACATTTTTAAAAAGGATTATATTACACATTTTTGAAGTATATGACTGGTTTAACATTAAATGAACACTGACTGTTAATTCATTTTTCGTGTTTGTCATTTAGCATTTACTTTCCTTTGGATAACACATTCACAGACACAAAATAGCTTGGTTACTAAAGTTTGGGCAATCCAGTGAGTTTTGCTTTTTTGTGTGGGTATTTATCAACATGTCACAATTGTATATGTCTTCTATGTTATGTGTCTTTTGAAGTACAAATAAATGGAATCAAGTCAAGTTAACCAAAACTGTTACAATTTTTTATAAAAGTAATATAATATGCAAGGTATATTTTAATACATTTAATAGAACCATGACTAAAATTGTCTATCCTTTTACTAAAGGGCGAGGAGAACAGGTTTTTAAGACTTAATAATTAGCTGTTGGAACTATTATGTATACATTTTTCATATATTTTATTCTTGGATTCAGTATTTTACTATTAACTTTCCATGATTTTTATCATCATATCTTGGCTCCTTTCGCCACCCTGAGACTTCCCTGTGGAGGCCTTTATTTTTCTGCTTGTATCTTAAGTGTTTACTGGAGCAGTACTACTCCCTAGGGACTGCTGTGCTTCTTAGGGATGGAAGTGCTTGGCTGGGGTAACATTAAATGAACATTTGACAATTCGTTATGACAATTAACTACCATTTTTTTCTGTTGTCCTTTTAATGTGTATTTTCCTGTGGGTAGCATATTCATAAACAAAACATCCTGGATACTAGCACAGTCAAGTTTCTCTTTGGGTGTTATTACATTATTAAAAGTAATTTAAATACAGGTTGAGCATCCCTAATCTATAATGGATCAGAATCTGAAACTTGAGTACCAACATGATGCCACAAGTGGAAAATTTTACACTTGACCTCATGTGATTGGTCACCTTAAAAATATATTATTGCTTGGGGCGGGGTTGTGGCTCAGTGGTAAAGTGCTTGCCGGCATGTGTGTGGCACTGGGTTCAAGCCTCAGCGTCACATAAAAATAAATACATAAAATAAAAGATATAAAAAATATATTATTGCCAGAATGGTGGTGCATGCTTGTAATCCCTGCAACTGGGGAGACTTAAGTTCAAGACCAGCCTCAGCAACTTAGCAACATTCTGTCTTTAAAAAGAAAGAAAGAAAATTGCCTTCATTAAGTTGTATGTGAAACCTAAATTAATTTCATGTTTATATTTGGGTCCCACCCCCCAAGATACCTCATTATGTATATGTGAATATTTTAGAATCCCACCCCCTGAAAAATCCCAGATCCCAAACACTTTTTGTCCCAGGCATTTGGATGATGTATGTTCAACCTATATTAAAAGGCAAGTTTAATGTGAAAGTTTTGTTGCAATCATGATATAGGGTATAAACTAACATGAAGATATAATCAAATAAGCTAACAATAAAATAGATGATTTTTCGAAGTTGTATAGAGTGATGTGAATGAATTGCAAGAAATTGTTATTACATTTGCAGAAAGCATGGATTGCTTTTGCTTAGTTAAGAAGATACTAGCAGTGGTGTTAGAATATGAATTCTAGTTCTATAGTAGGTATGGGTGACATGGAATATAAGTTTCATTTAACAAGTATTTGCTCCGTGAAAAACCAAGGCAGGGGCTGGGGTTGTGGCTCAGTGGTAGAGCACTTGCCTAACATGTGTGAGGCACTGGGTTCAATTCTCAGCACCACATTGGAAAATAAATAAATGAAATAAAGTCATTATGTCCAGTTACAACTAAAAATATTTTTAAAAGGTGTGGGGGTTGCTGGGATTGTGGCTTAGTGAGGCACTGGGTTTGATCCTCAGCACCACATAAATGTAAATAAAGAAATTGTGTCCACCTAAAAAACTAAAAAATATTTTTAAAAAAAGGCAGCTAGTGTGGGGTAGATGGTATGTGATCCTGTCTTCTAGCAACCCCCAAACCATTAGTTATAAAACAATGCAGGAAAGGTCTAAGAGAGAATAGGAAAGGATGGTAAGCATCAATAGGGATAGTTGCACCTTTTAATAATCAACTTGAGATTTTTACTACATGTACATGTAGAAGAAAGAAAAAATTTAAGAATGAATACAAAAGTGTTGTAATTTTATAGGTGTGTTGTGGGATTTGGGGAGGTGGAAATGCTCAAGTATCTGAGATGAGTTGTATCTTTTTTTAGTGTGTGTGTGGGGGAGCTGATCAGAGAGTGTCTACATGAAGAAAGGCTGAGAGCTCATAAATATGTACAAAGCTAGTAGGAACCCAAAATGAGACTGGATAACTAATCAATTTAGAAGCCATTAGGGAATTTTGGCAATAGAGGACTACTTATATCAGACGTTGTGGTAAGTTCTTGTAGTATTAGCTACTTTTAAGAGGCAGAAGCAGGAGTTTGATACCAGCCTGGACAATATAGCAAGATCCTATCTCAAAGGAAAAAAAAATACAGAATTCAGATAAATAACTAGTGATTTGAGGAAAGATGGATTTACAGGATGCATTTACAGGCAGGGAAAGCAATTGAAATAACAGGCAGTAGGGTTGGGGAAGAAGGGCAGAGATCAAGAATTGCCAACTGAGCCTGGGGGACGTGGTTCAATGCTTGCCACGTACCACTTGGTACCAAACCGGCAGGACTTGGGGACTGTAATTGGATGTGTGAGGGGTTTGTTCATAAGAAAGAAGGCTGCAGGGCCTTGGGATGTGGCTCAAGTGGTAGCGCGCTTGCTTGGCATGCGCGGGGCGCTGGGTTTGATCCTCAGCACCTCATAAAAATAAAGATATTATGTCCACCGAAAACTAAAAAATAAATATTAAAATTCTCTCAAAGAAAGAAAGAAAGAAAGAAAGCTGCAATTAGGATTTTTTTACCTGAATGTCAGGTAATTTTGATATTGCCCACTTTTAAGTATAATTAGGAAGGGTGAGGGTCAAGCTTTTCT